GCACATCATGCTACTCTACGCCGCTGGGCTCGTTGGCTACTCTGCTGTACATGAAGGCTGCTGCTGCTAGCACCGCTGTCAGTCGTCGTCAGGGCTCCTACCCTACCGTGAGCAATTGCCAGACCAGCATCGCCCGTCCGTCATATGTGCAGTGACCGCTGTGGCTCAAGACTTGCAAGGGACCGAGCGCATTGTCCAATATTACCGCCGGCCTCCTTGTCTTTCCCCAAACTTGCCGACCCCAGGTTCTTGCGCAACGCCCGCCGAACCCGTCGCGCCTTCCCCAATCCGCTGCTCGTTCGAGGAACATCCCACTTTCCCACCACACCTTCCCTTCCTGCTTCTCACCACCGACTCTTGAACGTAGCTCTAGTGACACTTACATTGACCTGCTGCGTCGAGGCCATCATCTACTTCCTTCCGGCCAAAGCCAATTTGGATCTATCCGGCCTCTGGAAGGTCCCTGAGGAAGGCGTTCCCCCGTTGCGCCGGCCGAACTCTAGCAGCGTCAGGCTCGAATCTACCAATCTATTCTTTCTGTGCCCGGATCTGCTGTCCTCCTTCCAAAGTCCCGGCACGCCCCACGCTTGACGTCCAAACATAGCCTCCTTCTTCCTGCCTGCCACCGTCCACTTACACTCTGCCCGAGTGTCGTATACTGATTCAAGCTCAATCCCGGCTATACCGGCCTCTCCACACCGCTTTCTTGACCTTTGCTTGTTTCATCATTCCATCGCGCGTTTCCCGTGCCCTCTTTCTCTGGACCTGTGTCCTCTGCCTACAACCTGGAGCCGCACTTCTAGGAAACCCGCCAGTCAACACCTCCAATGCTCTCCGAGCTTCCGACCATGGATCAATCGCCTGATGGTATCTCACCCACGAGCGCCGACCCCGCCGTCGTCGGTAACGGTACAACCACCTTCTCGGCTCCGAACCACATCTGCTAACACATCTCCNNAGCTCCCTCGAACCAGCCCCCCAAGACACAAGCCAAGTTCCCTCCCCCAAAAACGGACAAACCCCGACCACACGTCTGTGGAACCTGCGGCCGTTCGTTTGCCAGATTGGAACACCTTAAGAGACACGAGCGCTCGCACACCAAGGAGAAGCCCTTTGAATGTCAGGAATGCAAAAGATGTTTCGCCCGTCGGGACCTGCTTCTGCGGCACCAACAGAAGCTGCACTTCACAAACAACCCCTCTAGCCGGCCGAAAAACAACAGACGGGAAAGTACAAGTGGACCCGTCAATGGGGGTCGTGTAAGGAAGGGCTCAATAGCCAATGCTGGTGCTGCCGCAGGGAACGCAGGCGGTAGACCTCGAGCGAGCACACTTGGTCATTTGGACATAGGGTCTCTCGGACTGATGGGAGTCGTCGCTCCTGTCGATGCGCAAAGACAAACCCATGCCAGTATGGCACACCATCGGATGAGCATGAGCAATGCTCAACAACGGCCATCAAACCTGGATCTACATAGCATCAACAGTATGACGCATCCGGGCATGGGTCAACAAGACGGCTTCGACCTCTCTCGTGTGGATACTCACACTTCTCATATAGACTTTGGTGAGCCATTGACACACATTCACACCGCGCCGGCCTATACAGGCATGCAGCCATCCGAGTTAGAACAGCTCTTCACTCCAGGAGGGAACACGGTGAATCCTGCTCAGCTGCACTTTGCCGCTTCAACGGCACCGCAGCCTGTTAACCTCCAGAACTTCCACATGAACCAATTTGACTTGTTTGGTCAAGGAGACGATTTTGCTTGGATGCGAGACTGGGATTCACAACTACAATCACATGCCAACAACGAGGCCATTGATCAATCATCGCCATCTCAGTTTAGTACTGCCAGCCAAAGTGGTTATTCTGAAACCGTGACGGATGGTCCCTTCCACATCAATGTTTCTCAGACTGCTTGGAACCCCAATGATATGCAGGCTCTGATGACTCCTGGAGCACTAAACCTTGATATCCTCGGCACAGGACTGCCATCCATTGATCCTCCAATGACCACAGTTTCGCCACAAAACTTGCTTGATCCGTCTTCTATTGCCGATAGCAAGCTGGACACCCTCATGATGCACTCTGGCGTGTCTGATTCTCTAAGTGGTATGCATTTCAACCAATTCCAGCAATCGTCTCTCTCCAACTTTGATTCGGATAGTCCCAGCATCTCCTCGTCATCGGTACCAGATAGCGCGAGGCAGAGCTCAGTAACGTCGATTTCCACAGATTCAATCACAGACGCAACTCGTCAAGCTCTGCTCCTCAGTCTCTCGCAACAATCCGCCTTCAGCCATAGAAAGTTTTCGCAACCATCCATCAGCTCGCCTCTATCACCCAGACCTCAAGGACCAAACCTTCCTCCCACTGCTGATTTGCAGCGTTACATCAACGCGTACATCCAGTATTTCCACTCCCATCTGCCATTCCTTCATATACCCACATTGTCGTTCGACTCGCCTGAATACATGACCAACCTTAGGAGCGCTGGTTCTCAGGCCTCGGCCAACCACAGTGGCGTAGTCGGAGGTGGAGGCTGCCTGATTTTGGCAATGGCTGCAATTGGTGCTCTCTACGAGTATGACCACCAGGCTTCCAAAGAGTTATTCGATTCCGCGAANAAAATGATTCAGCTCTATCTTGAAGAGCGTCGCAAGGCCGACATGTCTGCAGCTGTCAATGGCGGTCAATACTTCAGTACGGAAAGCTCGTCGCACAACACACCACTGTGGTTAGTCCAAGCAATGCTGCTGAACGTCATCTATGGTCACTATTGTGGCGACAAGACCGCGGCAGATATCGCGAGCAACCATTGCGCAGCATTGGTCAGTCTTGCTCGTGCTGCAGAATTGGCACATCCAGCCACAAACCAAGATAATTTTGGCGATGCCAAAGATGAAAAGCCAGACGTTCATATGGATGATGGCTCTTCTCCCTTCAATGGGCACACAAATGTCCACCTGCAATGGTTGAAGTGGAAGGAAGCAGAAGAGCGCAAGAGAACTCTTTTCGCCATCTTCATCCTGTCTAGTCTGCTTGTCATTGCGTACAATCAGACGCCAGCTATCACCAACTCCGAGATTCTCCTTGCGCTACCTTGTGATGAGGAGCTCTGGACAGCGGACAGTGCTAGAGAATGGGCTGCCAGAGGAGGCGCCCAAGCAGCCGAAGCCAGTGCTACGCCGTTCTCTGCGGCACTGAGCGATCTCTTGACCGCCAACCAAAGACAACAAAGCATGTACGGCTACAACAGATACAGCCCCAGCGGTGACTCTCATGGAGTAAGCAGCCAGCTTCGACCAAGCACATTCGGATGCTTGGTCCTGATCAATGCTCTTCACAACTACATCTGGGAGACAAGAAGCAGACACATTGGACGCCAGTGGACAGCACAAGAGACTGAATCCATGGTAGCACACATCGAGCCCGCCCTAAACGCGTGGCAAGCTGCATGGAAAGCCAACGACCGCCACAAGTTGCAGCGACCAAACCCCTTCGGTTTGGGTCCCTTGGCAGCCGATAGTATCCCTCTATTGGATCTAGCATTTGTGAGGCTCTTCGTTAATCTTGGACGCTCAAAAGAGGCCTTCTGGCAGCGTGACTTTGAGGCCATGTCGGAAGAGCTAGCTTGCGGTATCGACTTCGCACATATGGGTTCTCCTGATCACTCGTCGAATGGTTCGTCTGGGGACTCGCCCGACTTTTTGCAGGGTGCTTATCCGCATGGCCAAGCACATTCATCAGGCCACAGCTCTAAGCGCGAACGTCACCTGCGCAAAGCAGCTTTCTATGCAGCGGATTCGCTTGTCATTTCGTCCAAATGCAACCTGACATTCGCAGATTCTTCTGCTCACGAGTTGCCAATCCAATCAGCTCTCTGCTTCCTTGACTGCGCTCAAGTTCTGGCCGAATGGGAAACAACCGTTCAAGAACGTATTGGTCGTTACGTGGGCGTGCTGGGCCAGGCTGATGTCGACTATGGCCAAGTGCCCGCCGTCATGCTGCTCGACACCGAAGATGTGGAGCTGCTGAACAAGATGGAAAACATCTGCACCGTCATGGAGGAGAAGATGGCCTTGCAAGCTAAGATGCTGGCTCACGAGATGGATTCTCTAGATCCCAATGGAACGATGGGCCTCGCATCACCCCTGGACAGACTCAATGGATTGTCAAAGTGCGGACTCGGCAGCAGAATCTTGCGCATGACAGCGCAGATGCTTGAGAAGGCGGCTGTTTGGCCTGGTAAGCATTCCACCCTCGCACACCTACTAAAGATCATCAGACTAACCGACAGTNNAGTTACCCATGTCATGGCCAGTGCTCTAGAGACACAGGCATCTCACGCCGATCACCGTGCCGAGTCCTCAGTCACCGCCATGTCTTAGGCCGCTCTGTCGTTTTGGAAATCTCACCCGACCGAAGTGTTTACATGGCAACAAATTTACGACCCCGACCCACGAAGCGACGAAACCCTCATCTTCTTCTTATTCAATCGCTCACCATCATCAAATTCTTATCTTGGAAAAACAAAAACTGTAATCAACATCATGTATGCAAATGGGGAAATCTCTGGCGTTATTGAACACAAGGGAAAGACAAAAATAACCAAAAGAAAAGAGAGGATATTTTGTGGATATTTGCTTGTCCAATTCGGAAGGAAGAGTATCATTTAACGAGAAGAAAACGAGAACAGGGCATTCTGAGAAGAAACAGACAAGAAAAAAGAGTCCATACATCATCACATCATCACACTCGCTTGCATTGGGAATTGGGAAATATGGGAGGGTCAGGGAAACAAAAGGCGTATTTATGGATGTCTGAATTCTTTTTATCATTCTCATCATCTCATTGAATCATCTTCTCATACTACTCGCCTCTCTTGACTTGAGTTCTCTATAAAAGATTTGACTGATCGTGCGAAATGGACGGTGGTAATGCTGACATGCTACACACGCTATGCCATGCAGATGCTACGATATGCTATTTACACACTACCATCTCTCCTCTCCTGCACTATTACGTCCGTGTGCCTTGATCCTCATCAGACCTCTAACACCACCGGCTTTCCTCGCGGGCAACTCCTCATCGCCGGCCGTGGCGCAGTAAAACACGTACAGCAGATTCGGCAGCGTCTGTCTAATATCCAGAACCCTGACACCGAAATGCGTCGACAACAATATCTCGATGTCCTTGTTCAACAAGAACACACCGTACTCGAAGCGGAAGCGTACAGCGCCTTTTGCAAAGAGAGGAAAAGTTCGAGCGGCGGCGTCGTCAGTGACGGCTTTGGAGGCTGTGCTTGTGGTATTGAGGATAGAGATGGGATCGAGAATTGTTGATGTGCTGCTGCGAGGCCGACAAGGATATGGCAGAATGGCTCCTAAGTAGAGTGAGAGGAGCTGGATGACATGGCTGACGTGACCTAGAGCGGCAGCTAAAGATTCGGGAGTTGCTGTATCCAATGCTTCCGAGTTGGGCAGGTGCATTCCACGGATCGTGAAAGCAAGACTTTGATCCGGTACAGGGTTTATGGGGTATATCTTCGACAGATCGTGGGTTATGCGGCGGCGTTGTTGGGTGATGGACGCCTTTACACTGGTGTTTTGGATGGACAGGTCTGAGACATCGTCTTTACCAGCTTCGACCTGCGAAAGTACCTCCTTTCGAAGTGCAGAATCGCGCGCAAGCAAATCTCTACGACTCTGAAGGGCTTTGCGCTTCTGGTCACGTTTCTGCTCGAGTGCTTTCAGCTGCTTTTTCACTGTCGCAGTCGCGAAATCGATGGTTTTGAGGAAGTCGGTCGTCTCTGCAAGTTGCGTCTTTTCGTCCAGCGATGTCCTGTTATCTTGTAACGTTTTTTCCAACTCGGAAGCAAGCTGTTTTCGCAGAGTCAAGGCATCTTGGACGCTGTCATCGAGTTTAGAGAGGCGTAGTAGAGCATCAAAGGACGAGGTGGGCAAAGTGCGAGATGTCGTGACTCTGGCGGGGCCATGTTGAAAAGGATCTAACGGCTCATCGACTCGAGCATCGGTAAATGCGGTATAGAAGCCGTCCGTCAGGTGAAAGACAGCACAGTTCGGCGGAAAGGGGTGGTGAAAGCTCGACAANNCTGAAAAAATATAAGCATAAGGACCAAGTGGACAGGTCAGAGAGATGCTCACGCTTTTGCCGATGAACTGTAGAGAGCGCATGCTCAATGTCATGTCTATCAACAAGCAGTAATTGGACATTGATTCGCTCTTGGCCCAGAACCTCAGAGTCAGCTCGTCCAGTCTCCTGAGTTGAGTATGGTTCGAGTCGAAATGGATGTTCCTGAAGTTGGGGTTCATGACCTTCTCAGCCACCTCGCTGACATAGATGGGATCTTGNNTGACGTGTCAGTGGAAGGACTTGTAGGATGTGGACGGCGGCACTGACCGACCTTGTTGGTTGGGAATGTGTATGGAGTAGAACAAATCGGCCATTCTTTGGGCAGAGACATCGTGGAGGCGTCTCTGACGTTGTTGCGAGGTTGAAGCGGCCCATTCTAGGGTGCTCCTCCTGCGCAACTTGGCGAACGAGGGACGAGGTGGGGTGCGTTGTTTCGTGGGGCTTGATGATAGAGATGAGGTAAACTGATGGATGGGGCGAAGGTCATCAGAGGATTTTGAATGGTTCATGATAGTATGGGCATCGCGTAGAGCGAGCATCTTAGCAGGTGATTTCTTGGTGGCTGGTAGAGCTTCATCGTCAATTGTGCCTCGACGAGGACGGGTTGCTTCATGGGACAAGGCGAGATTGCGGAGAGTTATGGCCTGCAAGTGGCGAACCTTTCTGTTCTGTGTTTACTTGGTGTCAGAAGCAGGGAAGGCGCGTGTTGTGTTTGGCTTGACTAGAGGCAGGAAGGTGAAGGTGCGGGGGCTTAGGCATACAGATGGAATAAGCCACGGTCGCTCCCGCCGAGCATTGGAGTCGGCATCTGGCATTGTGCAAACTCGGAAGGAGGGACTAGCAACAGGAGGTTCCCATTGAAAAGATGTACGGAATGGGGATGCACGCTTCTAGTCCAGGTGTTTCGGCATGTGACGATGATGAACAGGTGCAGCAGCTGCGGGAAGCGGAGAAGACGGCGCCAAGACCGGGGGTCGATTTCGCGTCTTCAATTGCATAGCGACTCGAATTTATTGCCAGTTGCCCGTCCCATCGCATACCACAATGTCGACGTCCAAAGCCGACCGACTGGCCAAACGGCTAGCCGACCACGGTCGCCATCTCTTTGTCTACCACCAAATATGGACCAACCAGGTCGTCTACTCGCTCGAGCGCTCCATGAAGGTGCGTTGCCAATCGCTACACTTGCTATACCACCCACATCTAATCATGCCCGANCAGAACAACCAAGTCCTCAAGCAGCTCACCTTTGCTGGAAAGAAGACTCTCCCCTCGGCTCTGCGCAAGGACATGTGGCGCCCGCTGCTCACTGCCACCTTCCCCTCGCCATCACAAGGTCTGGCCGCCTTCCGGAAACTGCGCGAACTCCGTATGCTGCACGAACACAACTGGGAGCACCCCGATCCCAACGCCCGCAAGATGCCCGACAAGAACATGCGTGCACACCTCATCATGGATCAAAAGGCCAACTCAATCGCCGACCTTGCCTGGGTCTTGCGCGACCAAGAAGAGCTCGGAGTCAAGATGTCGCAGAAGCGCGAGGAGAACCAAAATCGCATCCGTGAAGAGCTGCTGGCTTTGGCAAAAGAATCCGAGGAGGGTGGTATGCCCTTGCTCGAGCAATCCATCAAGGACCAGGAGGCCACTATCAACAAGATGAAGCAGACGCAGCAAGAGGGCGGTGCTGATGCCCCGTCACGCAAACAGATCGGTGAGAGCTTGATCGCTCTGAAGCAGATGCGTCTTAGATACGCAAAGATGCAGGCCGCCACACGTGCCATTGAGTCAGCACAGGACAAGGCTGCGACGCAGCTCGAAGCTCAAGCCGCCCGTGGTTCCACCCCGGATCAGATCAGCATGGAAATCGAGCCTCCAACCATCTTCACCAACCCTCCTCCTGAGCTTAGTCCCAGGTCCAAGGGCCGCAACTCTGCTGTTCAAGCACCCATTTACACCGTTGAAGGCGTCGTCATCCGATGGACCAACCCTCTGGACGCCGAGTTCGCTGCCGAATGGCCCTCTGCTGTCCAGCACGACTTTGCTGGTTTGGCCCGCCACACTGCCGCCCCTGTCGACCAGGAACCCGCCACTTCCGTCGAGCAACTGATCCAGCGCAACACCAGCCAAAAATACCTCACAATGCGCGCGGCCCGTCCACGTCAAATCGAGGAGCTGAGTGAGGACGCTGAGGAGATTGATGACGCCGAGTATGAGCGCCTGACTGGCAAGTCTGCCGCCAACCTTGCTCCCGCTCGCCAGTAGAGGATCTTTCTGACTACGTGTTTTCCCATTTTCAATCTACCAGCCTTTTTTCCCTCTCGGGGGTGGTCAAGAGGCCACCCTGTCTGTATATCTATACCTGAACCTCTCCTGGATGTTGTATGTACCTTTACTAGCATATATGGCGGGCGCCATGGCGTTTGTTCTTTACTTTACTCGCACGGACGAAATCGAAAAGAAAAAGTTATCAAATGTCAATCAAAGGGAGGCTATTTGAGAGCATATGTGGTCAACCCCGAGGCTCTAAGAATGTGGCTCTAACATGGCAACGATTGACTATACTCTCCGCTTACGCTCAACACTCACGTCTATCCTTCCTCCACCCACAAGTAGCGCCGTAGTACGCTATCAAGATGCATAATCCCATACAAAATCATATGCTTGTCCACAGAGACAGCTCCAAAATGAGATCTCTCCTTGGACGTTATGTTAGTCTGATAAGTATTTTGCATCGTCATGGCTGCACTATACCAGTCTTTGGCACACAAGGAGGACAACAAAGGGATGGAGTCAAATAGGCACCCGAAACTGGTGACGTGTTCTCTGGAAGGCACCAATGCTATGTATGGCAAATGCAATGGATTGACAACCTTTAGATAGAGCATCGTTTGCCTTATAGTTGGTCCGGATCAAAGTAAATAAGTATATATACTGAATCAAAAGCATAACAAGCACATACGGCCACAGTCAGCTGAAAACTGGGCATCCCGTCCGCTCTGCCATACATAAGCAGTTGAACGGCAGATTAGTACTACGGTGGGTGACCACGTGGGAATCCCTGCTGCTGTATGTTTTTAGNTACTTCTCTTTGCTCATCCCATCATCTCTTGCTTCTCGTTCTGAGTATCTGTGTGCTGATGTCTTGCTTTTTCTTTTGCATGGGAGTGTGTCAAGAATCTCTGTTCAAACTGAACAGTGGGCTCTGACATGTTTTGATACCCAAAAACGGCATCTTATCAAATTTGATGTTAGATGCCATACGCTTGACTGAATGTAAGTAGCGGTTGTAGGGGCATGAAGAGACCACGGAGTGTGTTATCACATCGTTCCATCAAGCACTCGCGATAGCGCATGTAGGGACTCTCGACTTCCCACAGTGTCTCCATGGTTGTCTACTATCGATGATTGATGGCAGAAACCCGTGTAAGAACAGCGACCCTGGCTCAGGCACCATCACCCTCTGAGCGTCCGCCCGAGTATCAATACCCGCATGAGCGAGGTTACATCTTGCACCGCTTCTTGTCGTGTATATGGTGTGATTGACGCACTCTCTTGCATATCGAATTGTGACATTATACACCATTCTCGGCGATCATAGTTAGAAGACGTATGGGGGCCATGAGCTCGCGATGCTCCTTCTCGTGTTACTGTGAGCGTGTCGATTTTTCATATCCGACGAAAGACCCGCCTGCTCATAGTAAATATCATGAGATGCTGCTGCTGCTACAAGCTGCTAGTACTGCAATAAAGGCCACCAAGGCCGAGTTACGACGGACATCAATTCAACGTCCCACAGTCAGCGGTCGAGGAAAGGTGGACAGACAACACACGTGCTGTTTGTCTGCGCTCGCATCCTTCTCGGGCACCAAACTATGTCGCTGGAGAAATTTGTACGGAAAACGCGATGGTGACCAGTATCGCCCCACGTGTTGCCTCGATATATCTTTGNCGAGCTCGTTGTAACGTCCAGCGATTNGCCAGTACCATCGCACGTGTGNNGCCGTAGACGCCCTACGGCTGTGGCGACTGCAGAAGGAATTTCTAGGACNNCATCACGCCCTATTAGCACACCAAGGCNGCGAGTTCTCACAGCTGCAGCTTGTGTTTCGGTCAATTGACAGCATTTTTCGTCTTTGATGTCGTTACCTTCCTCGAATGGCATTTGCCTTCGAGAAAACGTGGAGGCCGCCGGAGGCCGTCTTGAGCCTTTTCGGATCCACCGCGTCGCATTGAGATTCCTGATCCGGATACATCTCGTTTAACGATGTTGTGGTGCAACTTGGAAAAAACATTGTTGGATGGTTTTTGCATCCGTGTTTGTTGCCCCAACTGCTCCTCTATGGCGTGCTTGTCTGTTCCGTTGACTCCAGTTGGATGCTTGGTTGTCCCCAAAATTCCACCGTGGTGGTTGCTTGGCTCAGCTTGTTTATGGGCAGCTTGGCCAATTTTTATGTAATAGTCTCCATGGCGACATCTCTTCCGGATCTTCAAAAATGCTCAATGCTTGAATTGTTCGGCAGAAAAGCTCCACACTTTCCTGATTCCTTGTTCACAGCTTCTAGGTCGTGCAATGCTCTGCGCGAATCACGCCAGCAACGGACTTCTCAAGCACGTTCTGTAATTCAGAGATGCGAGTCGGCTTTAAAGCATACCAAAGAAGTGGAAATGAGCGGTGAGAAAAATCTCCCTTCCTAGGGCGTAAACGGCTTCTTTACCCTGAAGAAGTTCTCGGTAGATCGGTGATCATCTGAAAATTGTATCTTGGTTGGAAAAATTTGTTTCCACGCGTGTTCCTTCTCGTCAACGAGGAACGTGCGAGGAACGTACAATTTGAGGCGACCCATGAATAGCAGGATTGTGTGTTTCGCATTCAGCTGTGTGAATGTCAAGGCTCGCATCATACCATGGCAAACCTGCGTCAGCTCAGTCCATACCTTGAATCGGCTCCTTGTATGATGTGTTTGTGTATTGATATTGTGACATTGATGTTTTCCACTACGGTAGGCCGAAGTGGATTGCGAGTTCGGCTCGGTCTGAGTCATGTCAACATGCACATGCAATGCAAGCGCGCGGCTCCGCGTCCGACGAAGAGGGCTTGAACGTGGGGATGCCACTTGGGTCGAATGTTGCTGGCATGGTCCTGTGTGAGGTACTGGACGAGTTGTTCCTTCCAAGCGGATCATCAGACAGAGCGATGTCGCCGGAGATGCAATAGATTCGTTAAAGTGTCTTGAGCGTAACATTGCCTAGAAAGCGGCAATGATCCCCCAAGGCATGTTGCGAAACGTGTGATGGACGGTTGCTCCTGAGCTAGACACCTTAAATCTGACCTGTCCAGATCGGTCTGATCCTGATTTGGCAGGCCCTACCAACGGCAGCCAAGAGAAGAGCATCTTTTCGAAAGGTCGATAGAAGGCCGTTGACAGCAGCTGTGCATGTTTCACTGATAGCGATAATGGCAGTGTGCGCTGCTCTGGTGAGGGCGATAGCGAGGGCCGTGAGGTGATGCAGAAGCAGTCTCGGGCACAAGTCAGGCGATGCAAGAAAGGGGAGCCGAATGGGCCCAACTGAGCAGCTGGGAAAAAGTGGCTTTCTGATCATGAGGTCCAAGTCGTTTTAGTGCGTGCGCGACCAAACTTTAGTCACAGAAACCCAGCAGTCATGATGACAGAGTTTTTCCACCCCGACTATTTACGGTTTCCATAATAAGTGCTGAAAGTCCTGGCAAGCACAGGAGAGTCTGCTCTTTGTTTCCCTCAGTCAATTCTTCTCGCACACACCCCAGGCACGCTCTTTGTCCACAACGGAGCTCTTTCCTCGCGAGATCTACAACCGTCGATCGCTACCCCGGATCAGGACTTCGTCTTTGCAAAAGACCTTCAATTTGCTACTCCAAGTAGCCCGCTACTCGGTCACCTAATCATGCCCGGTCGTATCCTGGGATTCGACTTTCCTTCACCTCTGCTCAGACCCGTCCCCGAGAAGAAGCGCAGCGCATCGTCCGTACGATCAGACGGCTCCCGCCACGACAGCATGGAGCATCTCAGACGCCCCCACTTTGGCAAGAGCCACTCATACGACAACAAGAAAGACAAGAGCCGCGAGTCGAGCATGAGTCGTCAAGCCGCAAGACACATCAAGCTCGACATGGTTGTAGAGTCTCCTCCAGTCTTGTTTCTGGATGGCACACAGCATTCCTCGGGATCTCTGTTCTCTGGTCGCATGCAACTCGCCGTTACTGGTACAACTTCCGCTGCCATCAAGTCATTTACGCTCGCCTTCAGGGCGACCACCTCGACCAAGCGTCCTGTGGGAGACCACTGCAAAGACTGCTCCTCCAAGTCAAACGACATCAAAGAATGGATCTTCCTGGGCGAGAATGCCGAGGTGGCACTTGGCAACCACGATTTCCCCTTCAGCTACCTCATTCCCGGCCACCTCCCCACCACAACCAACGGACACATTGCCAGCATCGACTACAAGCTGGTCGCCCGTGCCGAAACCGTCAACGGCGAAGTCGCAGAGTACGTTCGTCCAGTTGTCATCAACCGCGCCATTCGCCCCGGAAACGACAAGAACTCGGTCAGAATCTTCCCTCCTACCAATCTGACACTCAACGTCACCCTGCCTTCGGTCATCCACCCGATTGGCGATTTCCCTGTATATGCTCGCATGTCCGGAATTACCACCAAGAAGGAAGACACACAAATTAGATGGCGCCTCAGGAAGTTGACATGGCGCATCGAGGAACAAGAGAAATTCGTCTCACCAGCGTGCCCCAAGCACATGGCAAAAGTTGGTGGTGAGGGAAGAGGCATTCAGCATGAGCACACCAGAGACATCGGTAGTAACGACCTCAAGTCGGGCTGGAAGACGGACTTCGCCGATGGCCAGCTCGAGGGCGAGTTCACTGCTTCCATCGACAGCGGCCTGAAGCCTCAATGCGACGTCGACAGCCCCTCTGGCCTCAAGATCAACCACGTCATGGTCTTGGAGCTCGTCATTGCTGAAGAGTGGGCCCCCAACAAGAAGCCCAACCAAGCAACTCCCACTGGCGCTGCTAGAGTCCTGCGCACGCAATTCAACATCAACGTTACCGAGCGTAGCGGTATGGGCATTGCTTGGGAAGATGAGCAGCCCCCACTCTACGAAGACATTCCCGATAGCCCTCCTAGCTATCGCATCGAGATCGACAACTACGACGGATCCGAACTTAACGAGGATGTGGACCATCTCCACCTTTCATGAGCACTTTTCGTGTCTCTCCACGACGAGCATTTTCTTTTCCTTCCTTCTTTTCTTCTACTGCACACTATACCCAACTGCAACGAGTTATGGTCGAAGCTTCGATTTAGCAAGCGAAACTGGCGTTTGGGATAAACGGTTGTCGAGCGAGGCGTTTGACAAACCAGGTCTACGAGCAAGGAGTTCAAGGGATAATCAACTAGATTTTGGGTCATCGTTATATGCATTGCTTCAACAGCGCAATGGCAATCAAAAACACTTTCACCTCTTCAAATCATCTGTCAACGTGTATTCCGTTACCATGTCTAGTGATTCTGAATTATGCATCTATGTTGAATTGGCTGCCTTTTGCGTCATCTTCGTTCCTGTCTCTCGATCAATCGACAAGCTGCCTAAGCTTCGCGTGGTGGTGCCTTCAGCTGGCCATATCCACCCTTGCCCTCATGCGTGTCGTATGTCTTGCTCTCTGATTGCTGTCCATTACGCGGACCACGCTCTGCAAGATCCTCACGCAGCCATTCCAGAACAAGCTCTCCCAAAAGACTGTTACCAGTACGGCCTCCTTCAGCACCTTGGACGTTGAAAGACTCCATGGCACCCCACTGTCTCACTTTGCCGAGAGACATGTGGACCAGATGCGTAGGCCAGTCAGCCAAGTTGTCCAGAATGTGCGTTGCGTAAACGATGGTGCAAGGACGAGCCTCTGTCTCTCTCTTCAAGAACTGCAAGAAGTTGTAGCGAGAAAGAAGATCCAGATCTACCGTGATTTCATCCAGTAAGAGGACTGACCATGGTCTAATCAGCCCCATGCACAGTTGCACACGTCTCCTCTCACCGTCGGAAACGGCATGGAGACGCCATTTCAAGTCCACGTCCAGGATCTTGACCAACTCGTCCCTTCGATCGGGGTAAGCATCACCGCCTACCGATGAGAGCAGAGTCGGTACATCGATATCTGTACGGGTAATGGAGTTCAAGGTCCATTCCATGCCCAAGTACGTCACACCCTCAAGACCTTCGGCGAAGGGGTCGATGCCTGCAATGCTGACGGTTCCTTTTGGTGCCATGCGCTTTCCAGACAAGAGTCTGAGCAGAGTAGTCTTTCCAGCTCCATTGGCNNTACAGCTTCTGTCAGAACAACGCGATCAAATGTATTTTGAACAGCATCACATACCACCGATCAGCAGGGTCCGGCTGTTTGCGGGCAGCTCCAGAGCGACCTTTTGAAGACCAGTACTGCCATCCGGAAATGCGAATGTCAGGTTGTTGACATCCACCTTTGGTGAGAGACGTTCAGTAGGTGCCATTTTCCTTCACGTAGAATTGTATATTCAAAGATGTATGATGAATCATGGAAAACGAAGAACGGAAGAAAGTGAGGTGGATGGGTCATGACGGTCACGTGCTTCTATGCTTTCCAGACGTTCAAATCTTTGTTCGATTCGCAGCGCAAATCAATATGTCAACATCGGTTTGATGTTGAGAAGAACCGTTTGTCGATTTTCTAGCATGACCAACATTGTAGGGCGTGCGCCGCTGGTCGCGGTAGTCGGTGCTACTGGCACAGGCAAGTCTGAGGTGAGTCTGGACAACTTTTGGTACATCCAAGAAATTCTGCTGCAAAAACAAAGAAGGAGCGCATGGCTCATACTTCAAATANNGCTGGCCGTGAACATTGCTCGTAAATTCAATGGTGAAATCATCAATGGTGATGCCATGCAACTCTACGAGGGCTTGCCGGTTATCACGAACAAGATGCCCGAAGATGAACGTAATGGCATTCCTCACCATCTCCTTGGATGTATAGGCTTGCATGAAGAGACCTGGACTGTAGGCAACTTCGTCTCGAATGCGCTTGCAAAAATCAGCGAGATTCGAGCACGGGGCCGGTTGCCCATACTAGTTGGCGGCACACATTATTACACACAGTCTTTACTTTTCCACGATGCGCTCACAAATAAACCTCAAGACGAAGAACCAGTCCAAAATGCAGACCGGCCAGCCATCCTCGAAGAACCAACTGAAACACTCCTTGCAAAGCTTAGAGAAGTTGACCCAGTGATGGCTGACAGATGGCATCCTAATGACCGCCGCAAGATACAACGAAGTCTTGAGATTTGGCTCCAGACTGGTCGCAAAGCCTCGGACATTTACGAAGAACAAAGAACACGCCACGAAACTGCTGGCNNCAGGGAGATAGCTTCGGACGATGCCCAAGACGCATCTCGTCTCCGCATGAGGACTCTCGTCTTGTGGGTTGGCGCTCAATCTGACATCCTTTCTAAACGTCTTGATGCTCGTGTTGACAAGATGGTGACACAAGGTCTCCTGGACGAAGTTTCTACTCTGTCAGAGTTCTACGATAGCAGAGTTGCTGACGGTGAGTCCATCGACACGACTAGAGGCATATGGGTCGCCATCGGCTACAAAGAGTTTTTGGACTATCAAGCTGCTCTACAAAAAGGCGATACAAGCCCAACGCAACTCAGCAAGCTACTCGCACAAGCAATTGAGAAGACCAAAGCAGGTACACGGCAGTATGCAAAGCGTCAAATCAGATGGATTCGCATCAAGCTCAACAATGCTATTGATACGGCCGGAGCCAAAAACTCGTTCTTCATGCTCGACGGCTCTGATCTGCCCAACTGGGGGCAAGATGTATCAGAGACTGGACTCAACTTGGTCGACAGTTTCCTCAAGGAACAGACGCTGCCGGATCCTTCAAGCTTGTCGCTGCTCGCAGCCGAGATGCTGACGGCCTCCAAACCTGATACCAGTGCTCGGGCAGATCTTTGGAGCCGCAAACACTGTGAGGTCTGCAATACGACCTCTGTCACGGAGAGTGACTGGACCGTCCATGTCAATAGCAAACGACACAAGAAGGCCCTGTCAAGCCAGAGGAAACGCGCCCTGAATGGCACCGCACAAGCATTGGCACCAAGACAAGACACGACCACGGACGAACACAAAGACGACTGAATTTCGTCCACACAAACCTCAATCCCACATAATGCTTTCTGTGGTCACGATATTTGTTCAATCTCAATCTATGGCTGCCCATATGATGAAGGAGACGCTTGATCGTGTATGCCCAATCGTGGAGGTCTCTTTATCATCTGAGATTTTGGTCAAGCTCTTCGGGCATGGCACCGATGAATGTGGCACTCGCAAAGATTATACCCATCGCACGATACGGACCGCAGCGAACGAGCCGCATCGCTGGTTGGATGTTCAGGCAAGGTGATCCTACGCGGGAGCGGATTACAACAAACTTGCTCATACACCATTCTGTCCGCCCCGGTGATAGACAACCTATATATTCTGAATAATTTGGTCTCCCCACAAGCAAAACAGCCGTGGTAGTGTAGTGGTCAGCATACCCGATTCTTGGTCGTTCGTTTCAGCCAATCGTTTGATTAGTCGTTCACTTCAGTCATTCATTCGGATCGGAAGGTCGTAGGTTCGAATCCTACCCACGGTGCTTCGCTTTTGCCTGTCCTTGACTTTCTATCACTATGTCGTAACTGCTGCATATTTCTTACGCCTTCGCTCAACTGCTTCTTCTTTCCATGCTTTATGTGTCTGTTACTTCCCCTTGTTGTTAGTCCGATCGCCCCGATCCTGCTCGGCATCCTCTCGCCGTAATCGTTCTTGCTATACTGCTGTAGCTATCTCGTTTTGTTCCTTTCCACCGGCTCGCAATCTGGTCGCATACTCCTTACTCTCCATGACATCAGAAAACACCTTGTTGCATCTGTAGAAGACGTGAGTGTTCCATTGTTCTAAAACATGTAAAGAACAATACCCTTGTTCAACCTTGCTGGTTTCTTTGTCAGTTGACCACTTCCTTCACCATCTCCAACACCAAAACCACCAAGCTCACTAACCCACCTTCACACTTCCATCTCTTCTTTCCGCCCCAACACCAAACAACCATACCCAAAAAAGGCACCGGCAAAGTCGTCCGCAACATCCCTCTCGAAAACGAGCTCCTCAAACTGGGCGTCCCCGAGACCGATATCCATGAAATGATCAAATGGGAGTAGAGTGCAAAGTACGAGGTCCTCATCAAAGAGATTGTGGAGATGGAGAGATTTTGTCCCAAGTGCAGTGCTAGAATGTTGTCGTCCGAGACTGCTGGTTGGTACTGTACTCGTCGCTTCAAGTAGAACAAGGTAAGCTGATTTTCTTTTTTTTGAGTGGAGTTTTTAGGTGTTGGTGGTATGTTGATATGAAATTTTTTCTTTCTTTCCGATTTGCGTTTCTTCTAGAGTCTTTGTCTTTTCCTCATAATGTGGATGCTGTAGTAGAATTCTTTTTTTTTAGAGGGCGATCTTTACCGATGTGCCCAACTCTCTTCTCATACTCTTGCACCACTTGGTTGGATTATCTCGACCGCTTGTGTAATTTGCTGTCTTATGTGTTCGCCTATACGCTTCTTCTTCTCTCTCCGTTCCTGTGTTATGGAGATGAACACTGTGCCCCTCCGATACCTATCGCAAAGATGCAGTGTAAACAATGTACCAATCCCTTCGAGGGGCACGTAACGAACGAGGTCTCAATGGACTGTTTGATATATAGATGCACAAACGGTTTGATGATTGAAGACAAAAAGAATCGACGAGAACTAGATCCGGTGACTTTAGAGTAATAATTTGTCGATTTCATATCCACAATTGATCTAATACGATACCAAGGAACGGAAGATACACCATACCCCTTGCGAGCGAACGGATGCGCCTGAACCCCCATAGCGACGACCCTGGAGTGCATTCATATGTACGAAGAGAAGATCGTGTCTTTATGCAGCAGCAGGGGTAGGAGCGGTGGTGTCTGCGGCCTCAGTAGCGACCGCCTTCTGCTTGCCAGCGTCAGGATTGAGCGGTTTGCTCGGATCGTAGCCAACGGCCTTGACAATACCCAGGCCTTTCGTTCGCCCTTCTCTGAACAATATACGATCACCTACGGCAAGGAACTCTGGCCGCTGGACAAAGCGGAATGCTACAGTCGCGCGATCACCGGTCCTGATGTATGCTCTGTCGATGTCGATGATAGCACACGTCTGGGATATGGGACCGACGTGCAGCATGGCCTGGTACTTCGTCTTGATGGTGGTTGCGTGGCTGAGAATGAGGACTTCGGCTACGAACTCGCGGTGGACCTTGGGTGGCTGCTCGTCGTTCTTGAGTAGGCACACCATGCCTTTTCGTACGTCCTTTCTGCGAACCTTCTTCAGGGCAAAGCTCGCGCTTTGACCTGCACTGCAGGCGGGAACACCTATTCGTTTCCTTTCGATGCTTCTGATGCTCGTCGTCGTGAAGTTGCCAAGGCCGTCAGGACCGACCAACACAGTATCGCCGGCGTGTACGACACCAGATTTGACAACTCCAGATACCACTGTACCAACAAACGGCACCGAGAAGGTGTCGTTTATGTGGAACTCGAAGGGAGCTTCGGCATCGTAATGGCCGTGGTGGGGAATGATGTTGAGGAAGGTGCGAACGAGATCGAGAGAGTCGCCGGTTACGTTGGAGACTTGGAAGACGGGGCAGATGCGCTGGCTGATAAACTGGGTGGCGGTGTTTATACATTCTTCCTTGTTCTTGATGAAGATAGGTATCTTTCTGGCACCTGGCGACTTGAGAATTTTGGTCAACTGGGTGATGGTTTGCTGCAGAATGTGCGGCGGGCAGATGTCAATCTTGGTTATGCAAACCATGACTGGCACGTTGAGGGCGAGGGCAATTCCAAGATGCTCTTTGCTCATGCCAATCAAGCCATTGTTGGCAGCGACCATTAGCAGGCAGTAGTTGGGTTCACTGCTGAGCATGCCGAATACTGTGGTGCGTAGGTAGCGCTCGTGGCCAGCTAGATCAGTGAAGCCAATGACTTTGGNCCTAGAGCATGTGTTAGTAGGGCAAATATGAGTAGTTCGTTTAGACAAACACACTGATCTGTTTCCGATTTCCTCCCACGAGAGCTTGCGACCAGCGGTCGAGGCCATGACGACCTCACCCTTGCTGTCAAAGCCCATGATCTCCATGCCCACCGAGCTCGTTCTTCCACTCTCAATCTCGTGTTTGTGACGGAACAAGTTGACACGGGCCTTTCCACGACCATCATCGAGACCACCCTTGACTAGCACACCCAGCATGGTGCTTTTTCCAGCATCGACGTTGCCGACGACAGCTATTCGAGTCTCGATGACATTATCAACCGAGTTGGGCCGCCGCCTGATCATCAACTTTCCGCTACACGCCTTTTCCTTGGGGCTCACATCAACCTCGTCTTCGCCACCGACATTCTTCGTCATGAGTACGCGGTAGTCGGCACCTAGTGATTCGGTGACAGTGTGTAGTCTGGCCAGAGCAAAGTCCCAGTCGTTCTTATCAAAGTTCATAGAGTCTCCGTTGTCTTCCAGGCCAAGGTCGAACATGGCCTCTCCATGACCTTCTTCAAGGCGGCCATTGATGAAGCCTGTCAAGAGACTCAGGCTCTCATCGGCATCGTCAGACTTGTCGAGGAAGAGATGTTTGAGCGGAAGGCTTGCGGGCTCGTCGCTGAGGTTGAGAGAGTCGAGGATATCGAGCTCGGCATGTTCTTCGGTCGTGACAACCGACTGGGTACCGTAGGCAGAGTCCTGGTCTTGAGGGTGGCGGCGTTTGGCCTGCTGCTTCTGCACGTAGTCGGCAAAGTCGCTGAGGGNCCTGAGTGCGTCTGTGTTAGAGCCATGGCAGCAACTTGGTGGCGAGGCGCATACCGATTCTCCAGCGCGGCGCTCCTGGGGCGAGAGCTTGTTGTAGCGGTCGTTCCGCGTCGCCATGGTGTCGAGCTCTGGTGTCTGGTAGCGAGATGAAGGTTGGATGTTTCCAAAAGACTTTGTTTGATGCGCAGAAGCAGGTAGAATATCAAGGTGCTTGGAGCTTCAATTTCCCCACATTCACATCGAGTCATAGACGACTATGCGTCACTCCAGGCTCGCCGTGACCCTGACCGCGCGCACAAACGAGTCGCCGGCGGGCGCCGCAATAGGTCACCGGCCCTGCCAACATGTCCCTTCTTGCCACTTACCAGAGGTTGCTGCGGGGCACAAAGGAGAGGAGCTGGCACCTGCCTGTCGCCACCCTGGGTGCTGCCGTCGGTCGCTCCTTCCCTCGTCGCTGCCCTTCGCTGCTTTGCTGCTTCTCGGAGCGACAAGGGCGATTTCGGATTTAGATGGCTTTGAACCCTGGTGGCGTTGTTTCCAGATGCATCGGCAATCGCAAATCCAAATAGTCCACCATTCGGAGCCCCCTCCGCCCTCTTCGCCATCTCGACTGCTTTTTGTTTTGCCCATGTCCATCTGCTCCAATTGTCGAGACAGCGACATTGCAAGCCATGTCGCCGCCAGTGCTTGGAGCCACTCGACCACTGGCCCCTCAGCCTGTGAGGTCCGCCGATGCCCCTGTCCTGCAGCCTTTGCACAACAGTTACCCTCTCAAGTCGACCAGATCGAGGCGGGGCACCATCAACGCCGCGTGTCGCGAGTGTCGTTTGAAGAAGCTGAAGGTATCATCCAGCCAACCCATTGCCTTCCACCAAGCCGCACAGTGCTGAGTCTTGACANNGTGTGATGGCATGCGACCGAGCTGTCAGCGTTGTCTCGTCAAGGGCATTGACTCTTGTGAATACACCGTAAACCCGGGAGAGACTCGCTTTACTGCCTTGAAGAGGAAGAATGCCTCGCTCGTGACAGAGGCCGATCGAATGCACAGATTTATAGAAGCCCTGCGTTCTGCATCTCCCTCTCAGGCTCAGGAAATGCTGAGCCATCTTCGCACCGCTGACGATTTATCCCAATTGTCTACACCGACCTTGTCCCAACCCGACCCCCATGCCCAACCCTTCGACCGCCACGATTCTGACTCGTCCATGTCTTCTGGTCCATCTCCTCCTTCCAACGCCGATACGGCTCACACTCCGCACACTTCGCGTTCGAGAAGTGCCAATTCCCATACCAAATCTAATCCATCGTTNTCCCTCGAAGACGAAACACTCCTAGCCGACACTGCCTATCAGCCATTCTCCGATTACGAAAGACCTTTACCGAGCGTCGACGTTCTTCGAAACTGCATCGACACGTTTTACAGCGAATCTGGCAAGCTGTTCCATGTCTTCTCACCTGACCATATTGATACGCAGTTTCGGATTCTAGAAGCCCAGGCTGACAAACAAGCGCTCCGTGTCGCCGCCTGCGAGCTCTGTGCTGTAGCCGCTATCGGCTCTCAGTATATCAAGGAATCTCTCCCGGAAGGTATCCAACAGAACGTGTACAGTGCCGCAAAGCATCTTTTGGAAGATACCCTCACCTTCGACGCAAATCGGGCTGCCAAAACGTGTGTCATGCTTTGTCTTTATAACGTCATGAGCAAACAAAAGGTTGCCATGACATTCGTCGGTACGCCAACAATCCATCATTCCTGCATTCTTCTTCTAACGAGGTTCACGTAGAANATGGGGCTCAACCTTTTAACACGACCCCCGATCCCACAAGTCTGCCCACCCAACATGGAACGAAGGCAATGGACAGAGCTTCGGAAAACCTGGAGAGTACTCGTCTTCCTTGAGACTTGGTTGTCTTCGACTCTCGGCTATGTGTCGGGGTTACAATTGCCAAAAGAACTCATGAATGTAAAGAACCTCGAGATCGAGTATGAAGCCACCCTTGAGGAAAAGGTCACCACCGAAATGGTCAAAATCACTGTCATCAAGTTCGACATGCTACGGCTTAGCTTGTCTTTCAAAAGTCTCAGTGCGCTCATGATAGGGACAATCACAAACGAGCTGCAACACTGGTACCGAAGTCTGCCGCACGAGATGCGCCTTGCTGGACTGGCGGACAACTCTGAGGTGTCTTTCGAGTTGCGGAGAACCATCTACTACGTCAAATTCCTCTACTTTGGAGCTCAGATTATGCTTTTGCGTCGTGTTCTTCAAAGCATGTACGAGCAAAGCAACCTCCTTGCAGGGGACGAAGCAGTGGTCAACGACCTGATAGCGCAGGCGAACTTCGCTGCCCGAGAGTCTGCCAAACTTTTCAAGTTAATGCTAGTCGAAGGCCGTATCGTCAAAAAATGTTGGGTTTGCATGTAAGTCCTCTTTATGACGGAAGCGTATTGTGCGGGTGATATTGACAGGCGTATAGTNTTTCAGGCCTACTCTAGCTGTGTCATGATATTGCACAACGCGGCCGAGATGCTGTTTGAGCAGCATATGGAAGGACGACCCGTAAGCAGGCTGCAAGATGACTTACACCTTGCCCTCGCTTGTCTCGACTTCCTCCAAGTATGCAGCCAGAAAGACCTAGCTGCCGGGCAGTTCTACTCGACACTCAGCCGCTTCTACACTACTATGTATTCTACGGCCAGCGGTCAGCTCGAGTTCGGTCCGGATATGGTCAACACTGCCCGTGATCTCAATGAATTGACCAGACGACCGTTTAAAACCCCTAGCCAAGCTAGTCCTGAATTCTGCTATCTCTGGCAAGAGGAGGATCAAGAGAATGCACAGCGTCAACAATATATCAATGATCTTATGATACGAGATGTCGCGAACGCACCTGACGAGTCATTATGCTGCGACAGCTGGCAGCGGATTGATGGCATCAAGAATGATGGAATGATTCACGACCTGCTCAGTGGCATCCGACCTGGCCGGTTTCTTCCAGGGTTCGAATCCAGTAACTGGACTTGACAAACTTGACAAACTTGACAACAGTCATCACTCGAATGACCTACTCTCATGCATGCGACGAGGATGTGGTTGACACATGACATTACCGCACCTTGCTACATCAAGCATGCTCGGGTTTTCCTATCCTATTTGCGGTTTGACGCGTTTTGATTGCCAGACTTGTTACTGTGGGCTTCTTATGGTGTTAATTGCTTCGGTTGCTTTTATCTTTTGCGACATTTAGGACCGCAAGGCGGGCGTTAGGAGGAGTGCCCTTCTCATCTACGGATGGAATTCTATCTGTAGTTTTGATCTCGACAGAAAGTCGATTGATGTAGGGTAGCTAGTGTACAAAAGCACTTTACTGAGCACAACTGTTCTCGGCTCTTTCTCGACATTGACAGTCGTTCATGCGCAGTACGAGAGGAGGTCATCTGCACAGCCATAAGCCCTTGTCGAATCGGGATTTTTTACACAGCCTTGTGATATCGAATCGCTAGCAGCCATCCTGAGATGTGGCACGCACGAATGGCAAAAAACAAATAAAAGTGCTTTGAGATTGGCCAAATAAAACGTACAGCAGCAGGGATTCCCACGTGGTCACCCACCGTAGTACTAATCTGCCGTTCAACTGCTTATGTATGGCAGAGCGGACGGGATGCCCAGTTTTCAGCTGACTGTGGCCGTACGTGCTTGGGCTCCTAATTTTTCTCATTATAAAGTACTGACGGTCATGTGTCGAGAGCGGTCGAATCTAGGTGTATCATGGAGAAGAAAACTGCAACTTCATCATTAATATACTACATACTTTTCTGCCAGAACTTCAAGAACCACACAAGTCTAGAGCAAGTTCCTTGGAGCACTAAATCGTAGATAAATATCCATCAAGACTCGAGATCTTTTCTCCAAAAGCTCATGTTTGTAGTATGCGAAGATATTTCACTGTGGTGGGTGATACAGACAGGGTCATCCCCGATGCAACCTTTTTTTTTTTTTTTCTTTTGCAGTGATGAACCCCAATAACCTCCGCATGTATCTTCTTGCACCCTTCTCATCGAGCTCGCGCATAGTATCTAGATTTGAGATATCTTATGTATTATGTATTGAGCCTCTGTAAACCATGTTGCATCAATGGCTTATGCACCTTTGGACTTTTTGGCGGTGGAGGGATACCAAACTAGCAGCGGAAGAGTACGCCTTGATCGAGCTTGTCTTTGCTTGTGAACACCCTTGATGGGAAAAGCATCCCAAATTATCTCATTGGGGTCATATATGCACTAGACTATATGACGATAGTCAAAGTCATCAGACAGTCATGGCCCTTACTGCTGCGGTGATGATGCTGGCCGGCAAACACGCAGCAACCAGAATGTGAGCGAAGATTGCTGCCAGCCAGAAACGACAGTTGCAAATACCAAAAGTTACAAGGCAGTCACCTGGATCAGACACAAACGAACACAAGGCTGGCAGAATGATTTTAAATTTCAAGAAGCCATCGTTCTATGGCAAGTCCTCTCTGACAAGAACTTGCATGCCGAAAACTAGAGGAAGATATGACTAGAGTAGCCAGTACACTAACTAGAGGGTGCGTAAACAGGAAGAAGTGGTATCGTGCCCATGGAAACAATGATAAAAAAACGCCGTGATGATATAAGGAGGAGAAAAGATGCATCATCGCTCGCTTTCTGTGAGAGCCCCTGTATGTGATTTGATTCAACCAAACAAGGTCAGGAAAAGCAGAAAGGAAGTAACGCCGGGCTGGATGCGAATGTGCAATGCAATGCGTGAAACCATGATAAGAACAGAGAAAAAAGAGGTACAAGATTGACCATGAACAGGCATCTTGAGAATATGGTACAGAAGAATGGAAAGTGCTTCAACCGAACCTCAACTGCAGCCAACAGGTAGGACACTAGACTCTGTTGTAGAAGGAGGTTGGAGGAAGATGCTGCTGCTGATTTTGCGAATACCACTGGTTGGCGGATGAGGGATTCCCTTCGAACCACTGTTGCTCGATATAAGGCAGACGACCCTGTTGACGCTCCTGAGGACGTCCTAGCGGCTGGTAATGCATCTGCTCACGCTGAACATTCTGAGGCTGTTGCATGGCGCGAGTGGGAGGTGGGACGAGCAGGGTCGAGACACGGCGGACTGGTCGGTAGGGGCTGTTACGCTGAGCCAAGAAGTAGGATGGCGACAACTGAGAGACATGAGCCTGGCCTGCAGGTTGAAAATGACCTTCTGTAGGAGAAACAGCGGCGGAGGTGGGGAAAGGACTCTGATGTCTTGATTGAACAACAGACTGAGGAACAGAAGCTATGCCGATAGGTGTGGAGGCGTGCGAGATGGGAGCCGGGATAGAAGTTGCCGGAGTCCAGGAAGTCGGAGGTTGGGTCGCGTTGTTCATGGAGCGCTGCGGATAGTTGAGAGGAGGCAGCTGGGGCAACTGGATTGGTAAGTGCTGGGAGGGCTGTGATTGAGGCTGCGGGAGAGCAAGGCTTGGCAATGTGACTCTCGGAACATAGTGTGACTGTGTTTGGATCGGTGGAGGAAAGACCGGAGTGATTCGCTTGGCCGGAGGCTCAGTGTAGCTGTCAAGACTTCTCTTCCTCGAGATTTGTGAAGCCAGATCGGGAAGCGGGCCGAGAGAGGATGGGTATTGAGGGAAAGATTGAGTGACAGGGTTGGTGGCACCGTAGTATGGGGGCGAGGCGTGGTTCGAGGTGGGCGGCGAGGGGAGAGTGTGTGGCAGTTGAGGCAAGGGTCTCGAAGCGCGGTCAAAGAAGCTGGCAAAACGGCCCAGTCTGGTCTGCCACTGGCCCCATTCCTCAGCCGACGTGAACAGGGCGTACTTCATGTTGCTCAGGAACTCGACCTCCATGATGTGCACTTCGGCTACCGAGATGCCCGACACCTCGGCCCATGTCTTGTTTGTGTATGTGTTATCGTCCAGAAACTTGTTGCCAAGCATGAGTGCCACAGTGAGCAGACGATACTCGCTGCCGGGTCTTCCCTTGACGCTCGGGTTGAGCTTTTTCAGGCGGTAGACAAACAAGAGAGCAAGGATGATGACATTCTGTGTCACCTGCGTCGTGGAGAGGATGGTCGTCACCCACTTGCGGAAGCCTGTTGTAGGAATGGCCTCGGGTACCAGTGACTGTGCGTTGTACGTCGTTGCAGGGTCATCCGCCCGGTCCAATGTGCTAGAGCTCTCGAACCAGAACAGACATGTGANTCTAGTCTTAGTCAGCGGCGCGCTGAGACGCCCGAGTAACATGAAATCACTAACCTGTGCTGCCAGCTCAGCGATGCTCCCCTGGCTGTTGTTCACTGAACGTGGGATCTGGAGCGAGGGAGCGATCGCGCTCAGGTGAGAGTCCCGCTTCTGGTTTGGAGGGTCGATAAAGTGTACAGGGTGTGGTTGATAGATAGGGCTGGGTGGTCTTGCAGCGCTGATATCAGGTTTCGGAAGTTGTACTTGATTCTGGCTTTGACTTTGGCTGTAGTCGTAGGTAGGTTGGTCGTACTTGCGGTGTTCGTACTTGATGGGAGCGGCAGTCGATCTCTCTCCATAGTAGCTGCTGTGCTGAGGCTGCACCTGGGCAGCAACACTGTTCATGTCCGGCGGCGGGGTGAGGGGTTTTGTCGAAGGAAACGTGACTTTGGCCGAGCCAGCAGGAGATTGAACGTCCAGAGGGAACTTGTGATGTGTGTGGTCGAAGGTCTGAGATGTCGAGGTCGAAGAGTCGACGAAAGGGTTGCGGAAGTGAATGCCTGGCGGCGGATACATGGACAGCATGAGGCAGACGGGAAGGTGTGATGGAGATGAGAGAGTTGGTGTCAGTAGGAGAGCGAGAGCGAGGTCAGGCAATGGCAAAGAATTATTGCATCGCCCAGGGCTGCGTGAGGAAACAACAAGGCACGGTCGAGGCTCGTGCTATCCAGTGGGGGAGGTGTGGACAGTCAAGCAAGGAGCTGGCGTGCGAGATGAGAAGGTCAGGTATGTAGAGGGCAGGCAGGCAATAGGCAGGAGGTATGAGTATGACAGCAACAGCAGCAGCGGACGGCAGATCTGGCAAGACGAAGACAAGTCTGACCACGCCAAAGGCTATTCCATGATGGTTATGACACTGCGGAGTTGGTGGAGGCCAGCTCGTCAAGCACCAGCAGCACAGGGTACATAACGGATGCACGCAGGCAGCCAGCAATAACGAAGAGCCTTCCGATGATCATGGCGGAAAGCCCGGCGGGCGGCGCTGGCAAACCACAACGTTCGTGAGGATTGCCCGGCGTGAAGTGTGAATCAGTGGTCGGGAGGTTCCAGACATGGACCCAAGACCTTGACCGCAAAGAGGCGCAGATGCGAAAGGGAAAAAGAGGGTCAGTCAGGCCAAAACGTTGACGTGGACTGCGGTCCAAGCACTGGCTAGCTCGCCCGATACTGTATTATTGGCCAGCAATTCATCAAGCCAAACCTGCTGCCCCCGAGCGCCTGCCTGCCCTCGCGAATCCCAGCGCTGTCTGCAGTGCGCATTAGGCCGTCTATACCTAACTACTGTATCATCGTCGTGTCTCGTCAAAGCTGCGCACACGAGCGCCGCGTAGCTTGCGTAGCCCGTAGCCCCTGGGTGCAAGAGATTGCCATACTCATCATCCATGATCCATGATCCATCCCCAAGCCCGCCCGGCCCGACCAACACGAAAGGATAACTGAAGATTATTGTGATACGATGCCACTACTGTCAATCATCGTACCCATGCCATGCCGCTACTCCTTGCGGGAGTTGCTGTCGGTTGCTGCTGCTGCTTCCTTCTCCTCCTGCTGCGATGCGCGCCAACGGATGTCGGCCTGACCAAGCAACGTAACGAACGCATCCGCATCCATCCCCCATCATCGATATTTCGCATCAAGTATTGGCTGTGCCAGGCCCCGCCGCTCACGCGTCAAAATTAAGTTCAAGGATAAAACCACGTATGCAACAACTCATCAGTGACCTTCCATCCTTCCCCCTCCCGATCCATACAGAAATCGGCGTATATATGCTCGAACACGGGTGTGCATGACCTCCGCGGCTTGTGCGGCTCGAGCATTTGGCTCACCATGATCAAAGACAAGTCAGACAAGGGCACACTTGCACTTTCTTTGATTCGCCAACCCGACACGCCAACCTTGGCAGCCACAAAAGGGCCGGCAAATAGCAATCAAAAATCCTCTGACAGAAGAAGAAAAAACCTTGCAAGGGAATGGATTCATCACGGCCCCCAAGGCATCGTTGCGTTAGCTGCGACTGGCGACGCAAACCGACGACGACGCTTGGCTGGCTCCGTCCGTCTCACACAGTCTTGGTACCACCTGCGCAATAGTCACAGTGCGCAACAGCCAGCAGAATTATACTCGAGACTCCCAAACTGCTGCTGCCGGCTGGCGAGCTAATTTAATCGGACCAGTCCGTATCTCATACCCTCCCCGCGCTTCGCCGTCTTGCATACAAATCGACCCACACGCAGCCTGGGCGACTAAGCGATACGATATCCGACTTGCCCGACCGGCGTATCATGCACACATGTTTCTGCGACTCCTCGTGCCTTGACGATTTTAATAGGTATCATGCCGATGACACTACTGGCGTTCCTCTCCCTAGATGACTATTGCCGCCGGCGTTAGACTTCCGCCCTTTCTTCTACTCATGACCCACCATGTCTAATTTGAAAAAGAAGGTCTCGAATAAGCAGCAACATCATCTTGTTCTGGAATTTGTCTCCTAAAGCCGACCGAGCAAGTGGCACCCGTCCGTGGGAGGATTTGCAGCTCTTGCTTGTCCATCCGTAACTGCCGTGGGCCGTGGCTCGTCGCCGTCGCCTCGATACGCTTTCCTACCTGGTGCACAGTGCTTCAAGCGAGCGAACACTATCTTTGTTGTCACGCATGGTGCAGATGGCACAACACAGTGATTATTGCAATTCTACTTTGCTCCAAACCGTCCGCTGGCTGTACCACACGCCAGGGCTTGGATATGCTAATCATTGCCTTTCCCAACCAAGCGAGGAATCTGGATCCATCTCCCGGGACCACACCTTCGTTCTCATCTGCCTTACCAAGCATGCTGCTCTAGAGCAATACACAAAGCCTATCAAGCGGTGACGAGTCAAATACCATTTGATCGTTGTCCGTATTCCTGCCGAAGGCGTCGCATCATGTCTTAGTACCTACCAGCTGGCTTGAGCAGCAGCGAACGGCTGCTTGCGAGACTGCATCACGTCGCTAGAGCGCACCCTTGACTCTTGCTTCCAACAATCAAGCAAGCATCGCACACACGCGCGGCATGCTCGAAACTTTAGGCGCCTTGCGTGACCGCCTTTGGATCTTCAACATCAAGATCAGCAGGTTCTAACACCTGAACGCCGTTGCCGCTTGTTTGCAAGTCACAACTGGTGGCCGCATCAGCCTTGGTGGGTGGATGGACTAATCAAGGTATGTTCTTGGTCAAGTTTCTAGATTGTCACCGCTGCCAGACTTGAGTCGCATGTCTGAACGATGGATGGTGCACCGGAAATCGTTGCAGGTATCTGCACAGTAACCATCAGCAGTAAGTACAGGGTACGCTTGTTGCAACATGCTTGTCCTTGTACCCANCTCGGCGGAGTGTCCGAGACAGCAGCTGACACGACTGTGAAAAAGCCACGAAGGCGGAGCGGGACCACATCATCAAAAGATAATAACATCCATNNCCCATGCCGCCCGTTTGGCGTCCCACGCCTGATATCGAGTAACGAGGACTTCATATTGCGATTCATGAGCAACGAACATGAGCCAGCCCCGAGTCCGTATATCCGAAGGGCTAGCGAAAAGCACAGGTCTTGCTCAGCCTGGGCGGGCAGCGTGTGGAAACATGTGTGGGGTCAGGAGGCGCTATTCCAAATGGGTAAGTTTGATTGATTTTGAAGACGCCCCTCACGAAACGCGTCCGCATCATCATCTCGGCGAGTCGTTTGATGACCTGTCTATCGTACATGCTTTTCCTGGATGCGGTTGGACGTTGGCGAGAGATGCTCGAAAAGCGAAGCCTGTGCTTCCAGCCCATCTCGTTGCACGCATACTGCGACTCCTGGTTTCGTAGTTAGGGTGTGAAAAGTAAGATCAGATGCAGCAACAAGGAGGTCTCTTCATCATCTAATTCGTCATCAANAGAGAAGCGACAGCTACGCGCCAAGTGCAACCGTTACCGAGCAGGGTGTTGATCAGGGCGGATGGTCGGACGAATCAATGATCGATCTCTATTTTGTTTTGGACCCGTGATGACAACCTTTTTCTTGCTNNCCTCTCGCATAGCCGCTGTCTCCTGTGTTTGACCATCCAACATNNCTTTCCAATCGCAACTCCACACGACTCACTCCAACAGAGCAGAGATACGCACGGGCGAGCGCAGCGGGACGGGTTCNNGACGGGGAGCGGTGGTGGAGCGCACCAGACACGGAGCGCCAAAGGCAAAACAGTAACCACCAGAATCCTGAAATCTTGCTCCCTNCACTCCCGAGGACGGCCGCGAGTCGTCCATACAAANAAAACCAATCAACGCTTGTCGCTGCCCGTTTCGCTCNNGCTCGTCGTTAGTGCATTGCGAGCAATGGAGTTCGTACTCTTGTCTGGGCTCNNCCTTTTCGCTCCTTGTCCACCGCTTATCNNCTTTCTGTTCGATCAGATCATGTGGACCATGTAATCAGCGACACGCTTGCTCCATTCCTGCATCTTGTTATTGCTCTCTCCACCTTGCCTATGGTGTTATGTTGATGCCTTGCCCTTCTCCGTGTCGCGCATTTCCTCTGGCGAATGGGGCACAGGAAAAAAACTTTGACATCGTTCGTTCGTACGCGAAGGTAGGTGTGGGTTCGGTGATATTTGCCAATAAGATGATCATCTTGCACCGCGGTCCACAGCTGGCAAAGAGGATTTTACGAAAACGACTTTTTTTTTGCTTGGGGATTTTCGTTTAGCGTGGAGCGCCTCGTACGAAGCCAGCTCAGCCTTCAGCTTGTGTGATTTGCAGGTTGGCAACTATCGAATTCGGAAAGACAACACGCTCTCGAGCGCAAAAGGAGAAGTTGGCATCGGACATAGACATCTACCACAAGACTACTGACTCTGCTTCCATCATGTGCAGACCGCCAACCGGCCGGCATCACCGTAGGATGGATCAGCGAGAGCCCAGCCACATTTGCAGGAGCGACCGGCGCGGGAAAGAAGGTCTGCTGTGGAGCAGGAACTTTGTTTGTAGGCACGACGTCCAGATGGGAGCTACGAATCTCAAACCCTCGCGCATGTCTCATCGTCTAATTCCACAAAGGCTCTACCGCTTTGAGACCACGTAGGGCGGGTAGTTGGGAAAATCTACCCCTTGCTTACTCGATGTAGCCCTGCATCTTACATTTCGCTCCGAGGCACGATTCTGGCTGAACGACCCATTCGATGAAAAGTCAAAAGCGTCGACGACACACAAGGCAGGAGCTACGCTACTACGCAACTTGATCCTGCTCTTCCAGCGGGCATGCAAGCAACCGGGATCCGGCAGGCAGCATAGCTCCGTCACCCCTGTCAATATATAACTTCCGCGAACATGCCTTGAGCCCCGTAACCCGGCTTGTCGGGTATGTTTGGTCGCGAGGCTTCAGACGAGATCAAGATCATGTGTCGCAGCCAATAGACACCAGACTCGGACTGATGTGTGTCGTGGCTTCTGCTCTGGAGTCTTGAGGCATCTCGTCGATATCTCTATCGCTCCCGTCTTCCTCGGTCAACGAACCCTGCATGAATGACCACAGCCACACGCCAACGGGCGCAAAGTGGTTCGTGTTTCTGGAAATGCTTTCTAGCCCAAAAAAACCAAAAGCGTCAAAACAAACCGAGAATCCCGAACAGCCACTGAATCCCAAAGATGAGGCGTTGAAGTTACTTTTTGAGGCTTAAGGATGACCACATTTTTTCAGAACCAGATCCTTGCCAACGTCAAGAATAAGCAAAGGTCATGTTGTCACGCTTTCCCAAGATTTTGGTGAGGGCTGAACAAAATAATGAACATGGCGCTTCCCTCGTCTACGCCAGACCCTACTCGAACGGGAAAGTGGAAAAGATGTCAAACTATTCAAGATGGTGAAAAAAGCCAATCAAGCGAGAAGGCGTTTCTTTCTCCGGGCAACGAATAACGAATCTCTTTTTTTCTTCCCTTTCCTGATGGTTCGATATGCGGCTTGAAAGGAGGAGATATGCAAGTAAAGATGAATGACAGACACGGGGGGGTGACGCATGGTGTTCCAAGATTGTACAGCGACACATCATCCACAAGCAGACGTGGTCACAGGAAAGAAAATCGATCTCCGGTCGATCTGTTTGATTCTGAAGCATCATTCCTTCATTCGCCTGTCGTTATCCACCAGCAAGCCAGGGCTAAAGGATTGGAACGGGCAATTCGATAACAAACGCTCGCCTAGATTCCAAACATGTATATACTTGGACATCTAGGCGAAAAAATGTGCATGACATGAATGGGTAACCACGTCTCGTGACGAGGTCTTCTTGGATTTTAATCGTCAGGAAGGACGGCACTCCTCGGTCTGGGTTATCATCTGTCACTAGGATGCGAGAAGACGACTTGCACCCGAAGTCCTTTGCAATCAATAACCCTACGGTCCCTAACGTACCTTGTGCTGCGGCAGCTTCATCCCATATTGTAGTCAGATGAGCCATCTGTTGGGCGCAGCGAGCCATGTCCACTCGGGTCAACATCCCCACCAACATCTAATGTAATCCAATCCACCACGGCTCGTGCCACACTACAGCTGTGAGGGCCGTCTAAAGCGGTCACACACGAGAAAGTCCCTCCAGCGCTGAGTACACGACCAAAGAGTCAGCAGCGAGGCTACTGTAGGGCGCAGAACAGCATCTGGATTCCCCCAAACCATCGAAGTTACATTATAGCGGTGTGTAGCAAGTAGAGAAAGTAGGTGAGAAGAGTCAAAGTATCCTTTTCTTTCTCTTCCTACCCACTTCAATCTAAAAGATCAATTGGAAAAGAAACAAGCGCGGGTTTTGTCTTTTGGCAAGGTTGCTGCGGTCAGCGCAAGCTAGTCTGCCCATCACATCGGTATCCCAGTTTCAGCTGGTGCTTTTCTGCATGTATGCATGCATCCAAAGCGCATGGGATTATTCCCATCTCACTTTTTCTTTTGTTTCGTTTCCCGTAAGCGATGGATTGCTCTAGTCTCTCATTTGTTTGCTCTCCTGTACCCTTTTGCAAAGGACACTGCACATTCTTGTCTGTCCTAGTCGGTGTACACGCTGCAAGCAGAATCAGGGACGAGCGACAGGGGGATTCGTTTGCGGGACTTCAAAAGGTCACCGCCCATAATGACTTTTTCTGCAGGAGTCTGTTCCCATGTTCGTGACTCTTGAGCCAGGTCTACGATCTAGACATGCAGCTACGAAAAGTCACTGCTCTTGGAGATAAGCGAAAAAAGTGCGTTTTTTCGATGTCTTATGGCAGTCGTGTACGTGTTCGTCACCTCTTTCCATATTTCGCTATATGGAACATGCAGCTTTCTAGTTTTGCATCTGCACCCATGTTTGCTACTCACGATGCAGCAAAAGAGACAAGGTGCCTTGCGTCCATGTCGCTCTACATTCATTGTCTTGTGCACATTTATGTACAGGGAGATTCCTAATTCATGCTGTCCTATCAATTGCACTTTTCTGATGTTAGATGGCATGAGGGTATGGTGACACGCAGGCCGTCACGTTGCACGAGCACAGAAAAGAGGTGTGTGAGCAAGTGTCAGAGTAAACCACATGGCATACCACAAAAGTCATTAATGCGGGATTTGCATGGTGCCACACCCATGGCATCTTCTCAGCAACACGGGCACAAGCCTCCCGAAGAAAGTAAATCGAGAAGAAAAGATATTGATACACGGGAGAAAAATCCCTCTTTGTGTTACACGAATCACCAGACCCTATTCTCGCCCTTGATGGCGGATTTGGCGCCCTTGGAGGTGACCTTCTTGTGGTCGACACGGCCCTGACCGGGTGTCTTGAAGAACAAACTGGGGCCCTGGCCTTCTTGCAGCATATGGCTCAAGTAACCTCTGTGTGCGGGATCTCTGTAGTATTCAATGTCCTTTCTGCTGGCCGGGTCGGGCAGTCTGTACTTGAACTCGGGGCGGGGTGTAGGTGAAGGAGCGCTCTGGATGCTGTAGATGGGGTCGGTGTCGCCCTTGAGGACGCGAGAGATGGAGGGCTTGGTGTAGTAGCGGGTGACGACCTTGCCGCCGACCGACTCGATGGCTTCGATGGCCGAGGCACTGGCGCGGCTGACGACGATTTCGACGGGGGTGGTGAGCCTTTCGGAGCTGCGGGCGAGCAACTTGACGCCGTCTTTGATGCCGTGGATGCAGCGCGACTTTGCCAGTTCCTTGAGGGTGATGGGTTCGTTTGGATTCAGACGGCCTGCGTCAATCCACGCTTGAAGGCGGTTGATGTTGAGCGGCGTCATTTCGATCGAGTGNNCCTGGAGTCATGTATGAGCCATCTGCTCACTCTATTGCCGCAGTACGAAGAGCGCTTACTGGTTCTCAAAGCCTCTGACACCGTGGACCACCTCTTCGGGCGTTTGACCACCATTGAAGTTGCGCGGCACCTTGCCGTGGGCCTTCTGACCCTTGTGACCACGTCCTGATGTCTTGCCCTTGCCCGATGAGGGACCTCTTCCTCTCCTGATCTTCTTGTTGTAGGCGCCCGAGTTGTCCGAGAGCGACGAGAGAATCGAGGCGTTTCTTTGTTGCTGGGGTTGTTGTGCGCTACGCAGGAAGGGTTGCAGCAGCGACGCTACGCTCGAGTGAGGTGCTGTGGGCCGGCATAGCGATGCCCGTGAGAGGAGATTGAGTCGTGGCGGCATGTCTGTTGGTGTGTGTGTGCTAACTGGAATAATCTTCTCTTGTCCGTCCTCGACGCCGCCAACTTCGCGACGCCTGTCGGACATGGCTCTGACCAATCACGTGCCATCTTCATTCCAAACTCAATCTCACCAACAACAACCACCCTTACACATCAAGACACACTTCTCGAGTAGAAGTAAACATATTGGATCATTGGTCTGTGCTGTACATACCATCCTGGAGCCAGCCAGCCGTCATCCATTCCAGCCATTTCCTACTCCAACCCTACCATGCCATAACCCATCTCACTCGAGAACCAAACTTCCTCCAGTAATTATCGTGCCTAGCAGCGCCAGTGCTGTGAGAATCCCTGCTCCAGCCTTATCACCAGTCGTGATCTTATCCGTGTTCACAGCGTGCATGCCATCGCTGCCCGTTGTGCCGCTGGTCCCTGTACCTGCACTTGGGTTACCCTTGCTCGTGCCTCCAGTTGTAGCTCCCACCGGCGCAGCTAGATCTGTCGTATCCATCATCATCGCTTGAATGACTGCAAGAGCAGACATCTGTTCGCCAACTCCTGAAACTCCATCCCATGTTGTCGAGTTCCACTCACGACCGCAGTGTCTCCCAAGTGCTCCTCCTGAACACTGTCCTGCCGCGCCCGCAGCCGACTTGCGCAAGTATGTAAAGATGCGCTCATAAAGCTCGGGAACCAGTTGTGCTGTCACTGCAAGCCATCGAGTGAGGAATGCCTTGAATGCCGGTTGGTCGTTGTTGCAATTTCCTAGTGGCTCACATGTTACTTCAACCATGACGCCTCCCATGTTCTGAGGGAAGAATCGAGCTAGTGTGGCGTTGAGGAGACCATCAAGACGATCCATGTATTTTGCATCACCAGTNNCTAGTCATCTGTTAGTATGGCTTCTTGCATATCGTGCGAGACAACTCACGTAATTGTAGAGGTATGCGTTTCCTGCAATGAAAACACCATAGTTGTATGTCCACTGCAGCTGACTGGCATCTGTGCAATTCTTCTGCGTACTGGATCCGTCGTTGACCTGCCAGTTCTGAATTTCCAGCAGGGGTGTTCCAGCATACCAGTCCCACGTCTTCTCTGCCCAGTCGACATATGTTTGGTTCTGCGTGTAACGCGCCAGGCGTGCTGCCAGCTGGAAGAAGCCACCATTGGAGACGGCATTCTTGTAGTCGTACCCAGCATTGAAGGTGAAAATCTGCCAGCGCAATCCTCCACCACAGGTCCCATCGTCCCATCTTGATGCCTGCTCGTTGAACACGGCTTGTGCAAGTGCCAGCCATGATGGCTGACCGTCTCCTGGATCCTCGAATTTGAGTTCGGCCGCTGTCATGGCACTGAATGCCCAAAAGACTTGGTCATCATTACNCCTGTTCGTCGTGTCAGCCAGCCTGTCACGACGCAATGTACGAGTTTCGTTAGGAATACATACTAGAGATTTAGACTGATTCCTGGGCATGTAGTCCTTGTCGTCTCCGACTTGGTGCAGTAGAGCCTGCTTGACTTCATCGTTGTATGTCGCGTCACCAGTGTAGTACCAGTACTCGATCATCTCACCAAACATGGCGCCCGCTTCCCACCAGTAGTACGGTGCCGGCAAGTTTCCTGGGACATCTCCAGTTCGGTTTCCGGTATAGTACGACATTAGGTCGTATGCGACCACGCTAGACGTTGACCTGATCGAGTNCTGTTCGGCGTCAGCCTCAATGACTTTGTGCCATGGTATTGCTGCAATCTTACCCGGACTACTGACATCAAGTTGTAATGCCGACCCAAACTGTGCTGTCAAACACAAAGCGTTGACAAGCCATGACGATTGAACTGGTTTCATGTTTGACGTTTCGCGACCATGTAACGATTTTGGAAAGAGCGGCGGCGAGCACAAGTTGAAAGCAGCCAGAAGAAGAGTACCAGCCTCACAATATGTTGAGCGAGAGACGAAAAGTGGTGGCGTCGAATGGCTGTCCGATCAGACCAGCCTTCAAAATTCCTGAGTTGTGAGTACGCGACAGAGAACAGCGAGATCAAGGTGTTGTGATGACGAAGTGCGCGCGAATCGTTCAAAGTTGAAACAATCTGGTGCTTCCTCTGCACAGCCCTTCACCTGTTGAATATCGGATTGTTCATCAACATGATCCCGGAGGCCCGCTTTTTCGTGTGCCTATTGAGAAGCGCAGACGGGGATCAGGTCGCCGTGTACCGCTCCAGGGCTTGAAACATTTCTCATTGGCGGACTCGCGACTCGTCGAGTGGTGTGGATTTCTCGTTGATCCTGATTTTCCAAAAACACGCAAGCGATGGCATGCCATCCCGTGTTGCCAGGCGCGGGTCCGAAAGGTCCTTCCTTCTTCTTGTCGTCGGTCCGACCTTTGACTTTCTACTTTCAGCTCGACAAACCAGACATCGACCAGCTGTGAATCGCTCCTGCACTTCTTCTGAACACAAGAAGAACAACAATACTTGGGCGTTGCTCCTGGACGAAAACAACCATGACAGCCTCTCGACCGTTGAGTGCCGATCGCATCGTTGCTTAGCAAGCCTTAGCATGCTTGTGCATTGTTCGTGCTTGGTCTTCCCTTCTTATGCATCACCACCGAATCTCTGTGGTAAGACGCGGAACGGATCCAAGTAGCCAGCCCTAGCTCGTCATTATTGAGGGCTATCCAAGCGCCAGTGACTACCTAGTGGCTGGTGGCGGGCTGCACATACGGCCAGTTGTGATTGACGAAGGACAGGGTGCCCTCAGTTCCTCCAACATACAACCTCGAACCACGAGAATAGAACCTTCTCAGGTCATAGACTTTGTTTCCTGCCAAAGGCGTGTGGATACCACATTGAACGGAACAACATCATAGCTCACAGCGCATTTGTGTGAACCTATGACTCCAAAGCGAAACTCCTGACGGTGATCACATCAACTTATCAAGTGCAAAATCTCTCTCTGGTCAGAAGCATAGAATTAGGCGATACAATTAAGGCATGTTGGATGGTTTGCTACCTAGTTTGAGCAGGAGATATTGTGGAACACAACCAAACTGAAGATCATGGAGGTATGTGGCAAGCCTCCCGTTCCGTTCTGCTATCTGATTTGCCATGAGCGTTTAGGTGATGGTACAAGATTTGGAAACGATCGGCTTTGGTTTGCACTTAGCAGGATAGAGATCTGGTTCTATCGAGCTAGAGATATTGGTCGTGATGCAGGTCTTCAACTTTGATTAGTGCCCTCGACCATGTTGAAGAAGTCTGCTACGCCATAGCAACCATCCCAGAGTATGTCCATACGCTCAATCCAGGAGATGTGATATTCTCGCAGCCTCTTGATCTTCTCTATCATCGTGAGCAACCGATCCTCCATACGTCGCTCCCAATCCGCCAGATCAATTTGTTCATGAGACTCTGCATCGAAGAAGACAGCGAAGGTTCTGTCGAGGGTAACGAGGGCCTTGCGATATTCTCTTTTAACGTCCCCTTTAATGGCTTCGAAAGCAGCATCCAACGCCCTCATCGAAGCTTCCGTATCGTTCATCCAAAGCCTGATATGGATCTTTCTGTTTACACAACCTCCCAAGGATCATGAGCTCCAGGAATTGAANNACACACGATTGCCGGAGTTTGTGGTGGCATTGAGGATGGTGGCATGCGGCTCTTCATAACAGATGTCGAGGAAGTATCTGCTTGTTGGAATCTCGAAGGCATCTGAACAGCGTCTGAGTTTGTTGATCTGTTTGGGGATCCAACGCTGAACAGTTCTGTGATACACAGCTTGGTCGCCGCAGAAGCCCTTGGACGACGCGAGATTGTCAAAACCAGCAAGGTACCAGTCCATCACAACGCCCGCCGTTCTTACGTGTCTGAGGAGATCACACTGTGGTCTCAAATGTTCGAGAAGGTCATGCAAGTATGTACCATCACACTTTGCAAGTAGATGTGTCAGATAGCCACCCCGAGAGTCCTGAAAGCTTGGCTCTCTCAGGATGGCCTCGAGACATTCTCTGCGGACCTGCTTTGATGTCTGGATCAAAGGCAGACACTCCAGTAGGGTTCTCACATCCAGGTCGTCTTTACAGAAACCTTGGTCGAGGTAAGGTATCGACCACTTTATCTGGTTCCACCAGCCGTCGTTATTGGCCATAACAAAGCTGTAGATCTTGTCTCGAACTTCGAGTGGGAGGATGCTGAGGTTGCCCAGAGGTGAAGGTGGGACCATGCTGGTGAGCGAATGTAACTTAGCCATGACGTCGAGTCTGCGGTTACGCGCAGGCGTTGATTGATGTGGCAGGGCGGGTGAGTCTAGCGAGACAGAAGTGCCAGCCAAGTTGTAGTAGGGATATATGTCAAACCGCACTCACTTTGGATGCCCTCCTTTCTGATGGAGTGCGCAGGATGAAGGCTTATTGGCGACTACTGTATTGAACGTTGTCTCGCGCCGCGACTGATCTTGTTGTTCAGCGAAGTGTTGTTTGAAATCAAAGGCGGCGCAGTTGCCAAAACGAGTCGATTTCTTCCTCGTCAAGTTAGGGTAATAGGAAGGAGACCGGGAGACGCACTCACATTAGTTGGACTTCCTCATTAGCGTGTTGTGTGCGATGAAGAGCGAGCTGGTGGTTGTGGCTAGTCGAGTTTGTAATCCACATAAGTGACACGGAAGTGTATGCGCAGTTGCAGTCTCCTAACGAGTGAGAGTCTTCAACACCAAGTCCAGTGAAGTCTGCGCTTTGAATAGACACAATGCTTTTACGAAGCAGAGGAGGATTCAAATAGAGTAGCCAGGATGTTAACTCTCAGTCAATAGTGTCTTGTTTCTTGATAGCCCTGTGCACTTACATAGCTACACACGTTACATGCATTAGCACTCGTAGAGGACATGAGTGTCACTGAGAGTCTGATTACGTAAATGTGAACTTGGATATGAGCACCTACTGGAACTGGATATCTCTCTACTTGCTCGCATTAACACCATCGGCGTAGTTGTCCAGCGGTGCAACATGCTTGATGGTCTCCCACATGGCATCGATCTTCTCAACAACCTGAGCAGGCAAAGGGCCGCGATCAAGGCCATCCAGCGTCTGTTCCAACTGCTTGAAGCTGCTTGAACCAACAATAACACCATCACCATGTTCGGGCTTCAAAGCAGAATTGAACTTGACCCAGCGGTATGCCAACTCAGCGCGTGAAACACCTGCCTCGCTGGCAATCTTCTCCCATTCTGTCAGGGACTCCAAAAGTTCAGGTCTGGCGTACATGTTGTTGTAGATGGCGCCAATTCCTTCCTTAGCAAATCTGCCCTTGCCGTCGAGGATGTCTTGCTTTGTCTTGGTCAGGAAGCCACCAGCCAACGGGCTGTATGCGTAGAAAGAGATGCCCAACTTGCGGAGAGTGGGTAGCAACTCAGTATCCTGGCGACGAGCTACCGGAGAGTAGTTGCCTTGATAGACAGAAGGCTTGATGAAGCCGTTCTTCTCACAGTGGTCATATACTGCCTGGACATCGCTGGCCACGAAGTTGGAGAGACCGAATCTCTTGAAGATGCCAGCTTTGTGAAGCTCATTGATTGCTGAGAGGACCTCGGCATTGGGTTCATTCTGAGAGGGTGCATGAATGTAGAAGACATCGATTGCTCCAAGCTTCTTCGAGCTCTCGTGTCCGTTCGCGGTGATCACATCCGAGGCAATGTTGGCTGGTGGACCGAAGCCACCAGGTGTCTTTGTGTCGATGATGAACTGCTCGCCGGCCTTTGCCTCTCCGAGAATCTTCTCAGAGTCGCCATAGAGCTGGGCCGTGTCGATGGTGTCGACGTTGTGAGCCTTGAGGATCTTGAAGATATCGTGACATTCTTCCACAGTCTTGTAGGCGCCATAGCCAACAGCACCTCCGCCGAATACAGTCTTGATTCCTGATCCTGACATTGTAGTTGATGCCGAAAGATGTGATGAGTTGAATTGCGTTGATACAGTACCGAGGACAAGCGGCCACCCCGCATCTTTTGTACTCGCGACTCGGATTGGCCATCTGGGAGCATCCTGCTTGGAGCACCCGCATCACGACACAACCGGAGACATAATCTCTCCGCTCCATGTCTTGTATAGTCATCCGCGTCAACACCACTCATCTACAACTCCGAAGACAAATTTATTTGTAAGCAAGTCCGACGAGTCTTAGAGACCAGGTCTAGCTGTGCCCTGCAACGCAGCGGCAAGGGGCTGCGGTCCTTGAGGTTCCAGCATTTCCAGCTCAGTCATTGGAAGAGTAACAGCCTGATAGAGCAGGAAGAAGAGAGAATTGTGAAATATGGCGGAATTTCCTGCCACCAACTTGGCAGATTGCGAGAATGATCTTGTGCCGTATCTAATTTCAGGGTGTGCAATACCGTGTCCTGATCGCTTCTGCTCGGATATGAGATTCAACGCTTCTACTCGGAGCTGAGAAACAGTAAGTCTTGCACGCAGCTACTGCAGAGACATTCGAAGTTTCACACCCTCGATTAGATGCCTGCCCACCCCTTTGTATAAGAATGGAAATGCACAAAGTCAAATGAGAATAGGCTTTGCTGGCTTCGCCAAGAGCTAGATAAAAATACGACAGGGTGCCTTGGTGGTGGCGTCCAGAACAACAAACATGCGAGGCGCACATGGTCAAGGGGGGAGATCAAACGTGACAGCCTTCAAATTCCTTTTCTGAAGCGATGACAGGAAACGATATATGTTCTCAAGACAGTCAATAAAGCTGCGAATTGGCGTAATAACAAGCAGTTTGCGCGACAGTGCACAGATGATGGGGCAGGCAGGGACGGTTCATGCACACTCAGCAACTTCCCCAACTGTTCCAGGACTT